CTGTCCATTCTTGCAGAGATCTGCCCACATGCTGGTGCCGTCCCCTCCTCTCATCAGCACATGGTAGATGAAGAAGTATGTACCCGGGATGCTGCAGATGAACTTGCCTGAAATGCCATCATAGTTGTTGCCAATGTTGGTGACCACGTCATCAAATTTTAGGATCTCATAGCCTTCATGAGGGTTCTTAAGCCCGGCATAGAAGGCCACCCGTGGCACCGTGTTGTAGGTGGCTGTGCTGATAGCTCCGTTACCCTCCAAACCCAAAATCCCAGTCCTCCCATGATCGCCTCTGTCACCTGGAGGCCCAGCTGGTCCTGGTGGTCCTGGTTCTCCAGGTGGACCCGGTGGTCCAGGTGGTCCGGGCTTTCCTGTCCTGCCTGGTTTCCCTTGTGGACCCTGAAGTAAGGTGGAAGGTGGAAGAACGTTGCTGTGGTCAGTCAATGCCTCAGCTTCAGCCTGCAGACCGGTGGAGCTTGTGCTGCTGGCCGGAGTGCCCTTGTTCAGGTAGGGGTCGCACACCATCCGACAGGTGCCCAGCATCTCGTAGTGGCTGGCATCAGTGCCCACGGAGCTGACGAGTACGGGGATGAGCACCACCAGCACCAGGACCAGCATAACCCCCACAGCAGCCGCCACCAGGGTCTTCCTCCCGATGCTGAGTCGGGGAAGGGGCTGTGCTGCCAGCGTGGGTCTCCCGTGGGCAGAAATGGTGACTGTTTGGTGTGGGGAGCCTGTCACCGAGGAAAGGGACCAAAGGATCCCAGGAAGGGTTGCAAGAGGAGCGGCGAGTGTGTGAGGGCGAGACAGAGACCCACATACACTTAATACAGCTCACTGCTCCACTCAGTCACACTCAAGTAGGTAACAGTCACTCAAACGTACAGGAAAGACTTAAGGAAAGCCAAGCAGGGAGACATTCAGAGCATACTTACAAACACAATGTGACTTGTGAGAAGAAGCAAGAAGTATGCAGAGCCCAGAGGAATGGAGTGAGAGACAGAGGGAGGGAGAGAGAGAGAATAATGAGAGTGGGTGAGCGTCAGAGATACAGAGCAGCCACTGTGAGTGTGTGTGGATGTGTGTGTGTGCGTGTGTGTGTGTGGTGAGTTTGTGGCTTGGCATTTTATATGGCAGTAGCTGCGGAGACCCCCACCCCCCACCACCACCACCCCTCTGCTCTCCCATCGAGTGAGAGGTTGGTGTGGTTACGTCCCCTTTTCTCTCCAGCTCCCTCAGACCCACACACCATCCTGCGTCTCTCTCCGCCGCTCTCCGGAACGACGGAGGAGCCAACACAACGCCGTGACCACTCTCCTCTTTCTCTCCTTTACCCGATTCTGATGTTGTTTCTCACTCTCTTCTCTCTCTCATCAGCATCCAGCATCTAAAAATAAAGATAGAGCTGTTGAAAGACAATCTTTTTTTTCTTTTCTGGAGGTGGCTTCAGGAGATTAATGCTTATATGTGCAAAGACACAAGTCAACACTTAATGCTGCCAGGCCAGGAATTGTTTGCAGTTTCTTAGAAGAAAAAGAAAGAAGGTGCTAATTATTGAGCTCATCGCTGAGAATAAACTCCTGACCCCGTAGGGTGGCCCTTACACAATGAAACAATCATGATGGAAAACTGAGTGAAAACTTTTCAGGAATGAAAGATGCAAATAGTCTCTTCTCTCCCCGTCAAAAAGGATGCTTCTTCGTCTGAATGTGCTGAAACGATTACTTACTGGTGTCTTTTTTAGGGTTTCGATTTCATGGTTTTTATCAAATCACAGCTGCTGTTTGGGAGGGAAAAATCAATACAGAGCAATGATGTGATTTGTTTGACATTTTCATCCCTCGGAGTGATGAATGGTGAAGTAAGGAAGCTAATGACAAAGTGTGTGGATGGTAAACATTTATTATGGAAGCTTTTGGTTTACAGGAACTCGTGTTTTCAGTATTTATGGATTAAAATCATTGTGATGAGTTAAAGATGGAATGGTAGAATTAAAAGTGTGGTTTACTCGTTTATTCCGTACATTTAGTGTTATTTAATGTAAATATTATGAGTCATTAAAAAAAAAAAGCTATGGTGCTCCTGTTCTGAGATGCAGAAGTTTTCTGTTGCAGAGGTAGGCTGAAAACAGCCGGATTGCTCAGGCACACACCTCGCTTCTGATTGGCTAAGAAAAGGCGTTTAGCCATGTTTCAGAGTCACTATCACCAAGACACTCTCCGCTCTCTCCTCACTGCAAAAAGAATAATAAAATAGCCTTCCAGTGGGCGGGAGTGCGCCAACATGGGCGAGGCTATGAATGCAAATTGACAGTGTGACATTGACTACGTTTACATGCAGCCAATATCCGGGTTATGATCGGGTTAAGGTCGGGATTCGGGTTTGATCAGAATAACCCGTTTACAAGCATAAATAGAAAGAGTTACCCCTAACTTGCATGACCCGATTTAAATGCGGACGTTGGGGTAGCGTCAGGACGTGTGGACTACGTCCAGACGCAGTATGCATCATTTCCGGTTCTTCTTGTTCTGGTATCCGTGAAAACAACAACATGTTTCCCAGTTCGGAAGAAATAGCGACCGCGTTTGTTTGCGCTTCAGTTTCCTCGTCACTCCAAAAGTGTGGTGCTGTGCTGCGACTCGCCATGTTGCTCCCAACTTGTTGTTTACTTCCGGTGTTCTGGCGCATACAAGACGTCTCGCTACTCAAAAGACCAAGATTCCTTGGGAACAGAGCATGCGCAGAACCCACGCTTTGATGGGGAAATCCCGATATGCGTTTACACGACCAAACATTCGGGTTAGAAAAGGGTTACCTACCCCAGGTGTATATCCGGGTTTTTGGCTGTGTTTACATGGACCTGCGGAACCGGGTTATTGTGAATATTCGGGTTTTAAAAGGGTTACTGGCTGCATGTAAACGCACTCATAGATAAGTGAGGATTTTCAAACCTTAGCAATTCACTGTCTATTTTCTATCAGAAGCTAATGCAGGAGATAGATGCAGGAGACTATTTTCATGCTCAGCCTGCATGAAAAACTCAGAGTGACCGATTATAATCAGAAATAATCACTAAAATGGGTTTTCAGTCAACCACACCTTTACAATGTCTTTTGGTCATCTGTTTATTTAGTTATCACTATTTGCTCTATTGTTCCCATTTTTATATTTCCGTTTCCTCCCTTGCCTAAATGTCTTTATAAACTGGAATTTATAAACTTTTAGAAGAAATTCAACTTTATTTGTTGCTGTTTCCTTCTTGGATGGTTTTTCTGCCTTGTTTTGCCAACTAATCTGCTAAAACGTTTGATCATTGTGAAGTCATCCTGCGTGGTCATCGGTTTGTAAAACTCTGCCAGCTCTCGTTTTGTTTTTTCACCCCTCGTTTCATATTTGTGGCCTGGGACATTTAGTGCCGGAGCTGGACTGGGATCTGGTGACGGATTGAGATGGATCAATGAGCAGGATGGCTGGTTATTATTTACCACCACACTTCACACATCACCAGTTATTTTGCTGCATTTCTGATTCCTCATCATCATCTAACTTCAGCCCCACACTCATGCAATGGGTAGGTGGTTGTCTAATTCACCACACAGCAGCAAGGATGATGCTAGAATAACTGGCACACAGGTGTGACTGAGATGCATATTTGTCTGATTTGTTTCACTGCTCATAAGAGCCACCACGTTTGTCTATATGAGGAAGCACACAAACCCCAAATTGGTTTTGGGGTTTGTTCAGGGGGGCTTTGTTTGTTCTTCACACCTGCTGGCTTTAACTGCTAGTCACATTGCTTGGACGCGGTTCTCCATCTTGGTGAAGCACAGAGATCAATGCACACCGGAGAGTACAAATGGAGATAAATCGTGATGAAAGGGAGATGAAAAAAATGAGGTTGAAAGAAATAAAGAGGGAGGAAAAGACACAGAAATTGGGGGTGTTATGAGTTCAGCTGGTTTGATTTGCTCCAGAATGCAGAAGGTGTGATTTGTACATATGTGGCAGAGGCTACTCAATGTCCTGTTTTTTGCTTAAATCCACATCCAGCATTACAACATTTAGAAATGTTGACAGGAATCACACTAAAGAAAGGTTCTCACCCTCATCACAGCATTCTAGACCCCCACTGGCTGTCTGAGGTGCTGCTCCATGGTGTGAAGTGATAATTAGGTGGGACACTTGTTTATTTTTTCCAGTATTGCTCATAGTGGAAAAGGGCATGGAGTCAGTGGGTCAAAGGGCATGTGGGGGGGGGGGGGGGGGGGGGGGTTTACCAGGACTGTCCCAAATTTAGTTTTGACGTAATTGTATAGTTAATAATTCAGACAGGAGTTATTCCCAAGATTGTTGAAAAATGTAATTTAAAAGTTGTGAGTGGACATCAGACAGCAAAAGATGCAGACCACATTTTACTAAACACTGAATGAACCCGCTAAGCCGATGTGCAAATTTTGTTACGATTATGTGTTCGAAACATATTTGCTACTTCACGATTTAGTCACAAACCATTTCCAAACCTGTGAGCTGTCAGCCAGCGCCCCTGCTACAGAAAAACAGCTAGCTAGCATGCTAGAAGGTACTGGATCACCTTTCCACTCTTTCTTTCCAACAAGAATATTTTCCACCCGCCACCACTGGATCCACCACATTTTTGAGCGTGTTGAAATTCCAGCATCACAACCACAGCACCCTGTGTTGTGCTCGGCTTGTCGCCTGCTTCTTGGGTTTTTCTAAGGCTTTTGTCACTTGCTTTGTTTTGTGCAGTCACAGTCACGCAAACGCCAGCTTGAACAGGTGAGTTTTCAGCTGTTGAAGCCCACATTAATGATTTTCTTACTTTTTGCCAACAGTGACAACCCAATGAGATGCTGGCTAAACTGGAAGGAATCTAGGTTAACCTTGGATTTCTAAGAATGGCAACAATACTAGCTAAACAATATTGTTGCATATTGTTATGTCCGTTGTTTTGTTTTGTTTGTTTGTTTGTTTGTTTGTTTGTTTTACTTGTTTTTACTTCAAACCACTTCTGGCCGTAAAGTGGCCAGAGGTAGTATTAGTACCTTCATCATGAACCTGCCACACCCAGTCCTAAACATGCTTGCTGCCCTCTGGTGGAGGATCTACAGGTTGGCAAGAAATGTGATTTGTTTATGGTTATTTATTTAGTACACTTTAATCTAAAGCAATAAAAACTGTGTACTCAGCAACACAGTTAAGCATGCATGGTTTCTGTGTCTTTTTGGAAGAAACTGGAGGACCTGGAGAAAACCCACACATGTGGGGGAAGAATACCAAACTCAAGTTTTAATCTTCATCATCAATGCTACCTGCTGCACCACCCTGCAGCCTGATTCACAGTGAAAACGCAAAGTATGCAGCCAAGGAAACACAACCTGCTATGTTATGTGTGTGTGTGTGTGTGTGTGTGTGTGTGTGTGTGTGTGTGTGTGTGTGTGTGTGTCTGCTCTGTCTTCTCAATCCCCAGTGAGTCGTGGTGGATGGCTGCTTAGACTGAGCCAAGTATATACTGAGCCGAGTTAAAAGGGAGTTTTCCTCTCCACTGTCGCTGCATGCTTGCTTAGTATGAGGATTGCTGTAAAGACTCTGACACTGATGGTTTGATGCAACCTGCTGGGTTCCTCATACAGCAAACGTTTTACTGATTGGCTTAATTAATTAAACTCAGTTGGAATGTTTACTGTGTGAAGTGCCTTGAGGCGACTCTTGTCGCGATTTGATGCTATAGAAATTAACTGAATAGAATTGACTTTTACATTGTTATAAAATTACATAATACCATTAAAATGAATGTTTTATAGTTGGCACAGTAACGTCAGCCGATAAGTTGTTTAGTTGCTTTAAGGAATTGAAGTCAAACTTGCCGGTGCTTTAGTAGATTTTATTTATTTATTTCCCAAACGTAACCAAACAACAGTAAAGAGCTTTAGAATGAAAAATAAATAAATAACAGGAGTTCCCATGGGACATCAGCAAAGCCAAAATCTGGCCTCCAAAATCAAAACTTCTGTCACATTTGGTGGGTCAGCTCTGCAATGCTAAATTGAATATTAGTGCATCTCAGAGACAATATCTCTGGCTGAGAAGAAGAAAGTCAGGAATTGGAGCTTATTTGTTTTGGCACTTAAAGTGCATCTAGTGATCTGTTTAAAATCTTTGACCCCATG